TTTAAGTCTGAATTTGGCAATAAGGAGTTCATGATCTGAGCCACAGTCAGCTCCCGGTCTTGTTTTTGCTGACTGTATAGAGCTTCTCCATCTTTGGCTGCAAAGAATATAATCAATCTGATTTTGGTATTGACCATCTGGTGACACCCATGTGTAGAGTCTTCTCTTGTGTTGTTGGAAGAGGGTGTTTGCTATGACCAGTGTGTTCTCTTGGCAAAACTCTGTTAGCCTTTGCCCTGCTTCATTCTGCAATCCAAGGCCAAATTTGCCTGTTACTCCAGGTCTTTCTTGACTTCCAGCTTTTGCATTCCAGTCCCCAATAATGAAAAGGACAACTTTTTTGGGTGTTAATTCTAGAAGGGCTTGTAGGTCTTCATAGAACTGTTCAACTTCAGCTTCTTCAGCATTACTGGTGGGGGCATAGACTTGGATTGCTGTAATATTGAATGCTTAGGGTAAGCATTTCCTGGATCCTGATCCAAGAATTCCAGAGCAAGCAATTGATTTGGGAGATGATCCCAGGAGATAATTAGCAGGGAAGAGGGGAAGTGAGACAGGGAAGTGAGGACAGCCAATCTAGGGGGCAAAAATAAACAGCTTTCCACTCCATCCTACTGGGGATCTCTGGAAGACAGTGTGGTACCCAACTCTGCATTGCCTACCAAAGGGCTAAGGCTCCTGTTCTTCATTGACAGAGGGCTGCTCTCTACCCTGCCCCTCATGTGGGCTGAACATGCTCCTGCAGCCAGAGAAAGCGCTCAGACACAGTCCTGGTGTTCGAAGTAGAAACCATTGGTCCACACGTGATTGGTGAGTGCTGAGGAGTTACAAGTGGAGCTCTGACAGCATCACTCCAAGAAGTGGAGTTCACTTCACAGAGCGATGAGGTTTCTGAGATGCTGGGAAGCTAGGCTAAGAATATGTTTCAGAGGCCCGAGGCACTGCCTTGCTTTTTTCTTTTTTTAAACTGTGTTAGAATGTTGCCCTATCAACCCTAACTTTGGTTTGAGAAGTGGAAAGCCTGTGATATCCATACATATTTTCCATCAAGGGCACCAGTTTTTTATGTACAACTTATAAGTCCCATGTGAAGCAGCAAAAATTGAGCTTCTCAGTTCTCATCGAGCCTTGGCTTTAGCATCACAGAAGCTGTAGCCCCACTGAGGTTGCAGTTATAGTCCATATGGCCATTCTGCACCTGTGAATTCTCCCTACATTTGGCTAAACAAATCAGGAATTAATCTTATGATGGGCGTGTACATCTTTCAGTTTAAAGCTTACCTGCAATACTGCTATCCCACTTTCCCTACTGGGAGGAGATCTCTGCTTTTAGATGGGTCTTATGTTATATTGTCTGTTTTTAATTCTGTCAGTGCATTGAAGGAATACATGTACTTAAGTTCTTTTGATTCTATAACTTTTGTTTATTGGGCCAGATTGTGTAATGTTGAGCGACGGGGCCTTGGAAATGTCAGATTGGGTTTGAGTCTTGCTTCCTCTGCTCACTGTGTGACCTTAAATATGTCACCCCAAACTTCCATTTCAGATTATTACATTGAGAGCGAGAATAGAATATTTTCTAAGCTATGAAGTTAAATCCTACCCAGGGTCTCTTATTCAATAAAAGTTTATCCATAAACCAAAACCTTTTTTTGATTCTGCCTCCTAATTATATCTTACATTTATCTCTTGTTTTGTTAATATCATCATTACTACCATCCTCATCCATGACATCCTCAATACTCACCCGGACCTCTGCAGGAGCCCCCTAAGTTGTTGCCTGATATTTGTTCTTGCATCCTCGGGGTGGACATCCGTTCCCATTTTCTTGGTTGTAGAACTGTGATTTTTCTTGGGGGAATATCCAGTTCCATTAGGTACAGTCCTAGTGCGAGGATCAAATGAAATGCTCCTTACTCCTTCCAAGCCACTCATCTGCCCAGGGGTGGGCATGTGACCTATATGAGGCATTCAGATTCTCTGTCTTAGAAATTTAAGTTTTGAGCAGAATGTAATAAAGACTCAAAATGACTGGAGTTATTCATCCAGTTGGCAGTACCAGAAGAGACTAGCAATTAATTTTTGCTTCCCAGCCAGGCTCTTCAGATTTTCCTTTGATTCTGGGTCCTAGTCCATAACCTTCTAATAAATTGCCTTTTTCCTCTTTTTTTGCCTAAGTTAACCTGAGTGAATTCCTGTTGCTTATGACCAAAGAAATTTAGCTAATATCCATGATATTGGTGAGGATAAAGACTAAACTGCTGTACCAGAAGCTGGAAAACACAGTGGGTCAAGTTTTTCTGTTAGAAACACAGATCTAAGTTTGTTTCTCTCTTGTATGACAGTCCAGAGTGAGGGAGAAGTTCTGTTCCCTGAGGTCACATGGCCCCAGGGAGCTTCCATATTGTTGCTCTGCCCGTTCCTAGGGTTCTGTCCTTGTTCTTATGATCGATGCTGGATCACTGCCACATTCACATTCCAGCCCACAGAAGAAGTGAGCGGAAGCCTGTGGCAAGCCATTCCTGTTAAACAAGCAACTCAAAGTGTTAGCCACTCAGTTGTGCCCCACTCTTTGCGACCCCATGGACTCTATTCTGCCAGGCTCCTCTGTCCATGGGATTTCCCAGGCAAGAATACTGGAGTGGGAAGCTATTCCCTTCCCAGGGATGAACCTGCCTCTCCCACCCATTGCAGGCAGGTTCTTGACCATCTGAGCCACTAAGTGACTAGAAGGTGTTTACTCTGCTAATGCTCACATGGTTTGGCCACACCTGGCTGAGCGGGAGGCTGGGAAATGGAGGCTCCAGCTGGGTGAACATGTGCCCAGGAAGAAAGGGAGGAGGATTTGGAGAAAACAGGCAGTTTGCCACATGCCATCTTTCAGATTCATTTCTTCACACCAGGGTAAGAGTGGTCACATACACATGTGTGTAAACATGTCATCTTCCTTCTTATAAGCCTCCCATGGCCTCACACTGTGGCTGGATTAAGACCAAGACCATCCCATGGCTTCTAAGTTCTGCTTGCTGGGTCCACTTCTTCATTCTCCTGACCCTGCCAAATCACCCTGGCATCTTCTTGGTTACATGAGCAGCACTTAAAAAAATAAAAAGCATCCTGGGAAGTTTTATCTGCTTGGAACATTCTTCTCTCCCTTTCGCTTGATTTGCTAATTCCTATTTACCTTTCATTTCTTAGGTTAGTCATCATTCTTTTCAAGGATGCCTTTATAGACTCCCAGATTAGGTCCTAATCCTCTGATAAACCCGCTTGTAGTAACCCATACCTTATTTTTCTATTATTTAGTAAGCTTAAGTCAACATGTGACTGATCAGTTCTATTCTCCTCTCCTAGAACATCAGTCCCATGAGGACAGGAAACACCCCACCCATCACCTTGGGATCCTTAACACCCAGCACAGTGTGAGGCATGGAGAAGACTCTTAAAAAATACCCAGTGAGCCCACAAATGAAGGAAGGATGTGGGTGGGTGGTGTAAGAGCATATTAGGGATAAAGTTTCTTGGTTTGAAGAAACGGGTGTAGATTCCAAGTGTATGTGTGCATGTCCTAATGCAGAATTCTCAGAGATGAGGGATGCAGACAAGGGGTAGGGAAGAACCAAAGACCTTGGCCACCACTGGAGATTTTAACTGGGAGTTCTCCCTGCCTGGAAGCAAACTCTATGGATGCTGTTTTTTTTGGCTGAGTCCTTGGCAAAGAGAAAGGGAGGAAGGATGGGGAGAAAGAAAGGACAAGGAGAGATAGGGAAAGAAAAGAACAATGTGAGTGATGACATTCCTTGGGTAGGAGCTAAGGTGTTCATGTGGGTTAACAAGAACAGTGACCATTCTTTACCTTCTTCTGGGATTCAGTGTTCTCGAAGTGTGTTCACTGGTGTCATTTCATCCTTTCACAGCCCTTTGGGGTAGGCAAGACCGTACTTCTTATCTTCATTAAAAATATCTTCAATTGTTTTTATTTCTTATCACAAATGACACATATTTCCTGTAGGAATGTTACCAAACATAAATTAGAAGAAGGAAAAAAAAAATCTTCTCACTCAGAGATAGACACTGTTAATACCTTGATGTATATCTTTCTCCATTTCCCCCCCCTGTATATTTAATATTCTCACTTTAGGGATGATGAGGAAGCTGGGGTGGGTGAGTGTTTCTGTGTTTCTTTCTCTCTTTATTTATATAACTATTTCTTTCTAACAACCTCCATAGGAAAAGGATTTGAGGCGTTGGGCTGACACAGTCATGGGAGACTGACTCATACTCGGTGCACATATTCAAACTCATATTTACATTCACACGGCTGTTTCCACTTCTCCAGCCAATGGAACTTCATGAATAAGAATTTGTCTTCTCCTCCCAGGCAGGACTGGCTTGAGCAACAAGAGACGTGGAGGCTGGCTCTGGAGAGAGAGGTAAGAAGGCAGGTTGTGGACGGGAAGCATAAAGAAAGCTGATATAGCCCAGGACAGATGGACAGACTTTCTGATGACACATTCTGATGCCCAACCTGACAGATGACAATTAGCAGTCACCAGCTGTAAAGTGACTGTAAATGCTGCTTCGAATAAAATGAGTCTTTTTTTTTTCCTGACGCATTTAGTGAAACATGTAAAAATCCAACAATGAATGTTTGTTGGCAGCCCATAAGTTGTGTGACGCCAGGGAGAGGCTGGATATTTGCTGCCAATGAAGGCTTCTGGTGGTGTGCTCTTTCCATTTAGAGCAAGACATTGTTGCCTAGAAGAAGGGATGTGAACCCATTCAGCGGTGCTCCTGCCTTGCTGGTTGACCTGGAGAGCGTTCCCTTCCTCCATCTGTAACGGGTCTCCCTGCTTCCACTCTTGCCCCCCACCAACTCCTACCCTCCCACCCTCACGTTTGACATAGTCTTTAGAAGTGATTTGTAAAAAATATCAATTTATTTGAATCAATCGCCCTAGGATTTGAATTAAATCCTCCCTATGTCAACCTTTTATAGTCCTCCCATGTCAGCCCAATAGCCTACTTTAAAACCCTTCTATGGGAGTGAAACTCAAACTCATGAGATATAGAACCACATAATGAGGTTCTATGCCAACTAAGGCCCACCTACTTCTCCAGCCACATCTTTTTTTTTTTTTTGGCTGCATTGTGTGGCATGAGGGGTCTTAGGTCCCTGACCAGGGATTGAATCTGTGCCCTCTGCAGTGGAAGTGCAGAGTCTTGACCGCTGGACCGCCAGGGAAGTCCCTCCAGCTGCATCTTTTACTACGCTCTCTCTTGATCGCTAAGATGCAGCCCCACCCCCAATGAAGCAGCCTGGTTTTCTGGCTTGGGGTCTTTCCACTTACTCTTCCCGTTGCTAGGAACTCTCTTTCCAGAGAGACTATGGCAGGATCATGATCGTCCAGGTCTCAGTTCAAATGTTACCTTCTTCCCTGAACATCCCAGCTTAGGGGGCCTCCCTGGTCCCCTTTGTTCTCGACTTAACTCTATTTTCTTTTATTTCACTATATTGTTGTACAACATATCCTTGTAGCTTATTTTATACACAGTAGTTGGTTCCTCTTAATCCCTACCTTTATCTTACCCCTCCCCTCGTTCCTCTCCCCACTGGTAATCACTAGTTGTTCTCTGTATCTGCGAGTCTCCTTTTTTGTTATATTTACTAGTTTGTTGTATTTTTTAGGCATTCCACGTGTAAGTGGTATCATATCGTGTTTGTCTTTCTCTGACTTATTCCTCAGCGAATACTCTCCAAGTGCATCTATGTCACTGAAAATGGCAAACTTCATTTATGAAACTTCTTTTTAGGGCTGAGTAGTAGTCCACTGTATACACCCACTTCCCACTCTTCCCTGTGTTTCCTGGGGTCCTCTCCCAAATAAACAGCTTGAACTTGAAACCTCTCAGGATTTGTTTCCGGGAGAAAATAAATTGAAATGTGTGTGTTGCCCATTGACAAAAAGGCATTCTACCATGCATTCTATTTGTTATGATTTGCTTTTTTCAGCCATCATTAACCATACTGATACATAGTAATCAATACAGATTGATCTACCTCATTTCTTTTATCAGTGTGATTCTCTTCTAGTTGGAAGTACAGAGTTTTATTTATTTATTTTTAAAAATGATTTATTTATTTTACTTTACAACACTGTATTGGTTTTGCCATACATTGACTTGAATCAGCCATGGATTTACATTGTTCCCCATCCTGAACCCCCCTCCCAACTTCCTCCCCATCCCACCCCTCTGGGTCATCCCAGTGCACCAGCCCCGAGCACCCTGTATCATGCATTGAACCTGGACTGGCAATTCATTTCACATATGATAATTTACATGTTTCAAACATGTTTACATGTTTCCAGCCCCAAGCATCCTGTATCATGCATCAAACCTGGACTGGTGATTTGTTTCACACATGATAATTTACATGTTTCAATTTACATGTTTCAATGTCATTCTCCCATATCATCCTGCCCTCACCCTCTCCCATAGAGTCCAAAAGACTGTTCAACACATCTGTGTCTCTCTTGCTGTCTTGTATACAGGGTTATCGTTACCATCTTTCTAAATTCCATATATATGCGTTATTATACTGTATTGGTGTTTTTCTTTCTGGCTTACTTTACTCTGTATCATAGGCTCCAGTTTCATCTACCTCATTAGAACTGATTCAAATGTATTCTTTTTAGTGGCTGAGTAATATTCCATTGTGTATGTGTACCACAGCTTTTTTATCCATTCATCTGCTGATGGACATCTAGGTTGCTTCCATATCCTGGCTACTATAAACAGTGCTGCGATGAACATTGGGTTACACGTGTCTCTTTCAAATCTGGTTTCCTCAGTGCGTATAGTATAGGGTTTTAAAATGATATATAGTATCTTTTTCTGCTTTCCCTGGAAACTCTGATGACTCTAAGAGATGGAGTCTGGGCTTGTTGGTTGGCGGCAGCTCTTGTGACATTTTGGTCTACACATTTCTTTGCTGTGGGCGACCATGCTGTGCACTGTGGGATGTTCAGTGGCATCTCTGATCACTACCTACTAGATGCCGATAGCACACTCCTAGCTGTGACATCCAAAAATATCTTCAGAGTCACCAAATACCCCTTGGGAAAAAAATGGTCACGGGGTGAGACCATGGCTATATGCACACCCCGGTTTTACCCAAACCTAGGGCTGTATCCAATTGCAGTCACACTCCCTTGGGGGTTAGGGTACATTCTAACTGAAAAGTTACACATTCAAAGATTGTTCCAAGGAGCTCAGACATGCATTTGGGTCTGCTGATTGTTGTCCCCCAGGGATTTGTATCACATTAGCTAAGTTGAAGCTACATTTCCCAGAACTCTTTTCCTTGAATTTTTCAGAATTCCTTTCCTTGTATGGTTCTGGATTAAGCTTGGCTATGAGAGAAACTCGGGTAAGGTTTGGAAGGTGGAGATGCCGCCTTGTTTCTATGGAAGGAGGTAGGAGGGTCAGATGCTGCTGCAGCTCACATTGGATGGCTCTGGTCTGATGATCACATTGTTGCCATGGACCAGCATGCAGGGTGGGGGTTGGGGATGGGGAGCAATGCCTCCTCCCACTCCTGGCAGTTCCTCTCTCAGCGTCTCTGAATTCTCCATCAGGCTCATGTAGGGCTCCCCAGCAGGTCACCTGTATCAGTGATGCTATTAGGCTTGGAAGTGGTAAGAGACAAATGTGGGTGCCCATGAGAGCTAGACATCCATTCCCATGACTCCTTGTGATTCCAGAATGTTCTTCTGTTTCCGTTTTGGCCTTATTCATGCTCATGTCATGATTATCTTCCTTTTGCAAAGTCTAACCCTGCTAACTTCAGGACTAGACACAGGGCAACAGACCTTCACCAATGACTAACTGGCTTCTGGATCACTGATGGCCTAACTCCTTTGACAAATCTGTCTTTTCTCTCATGGTGGCTCTGCATCTCTGATGGAAACTTAGCTGCTAGATACATACCCCTTTGGGTGTTCAGGCACATTCTGACTAAGAAATTGCACATTCAGATTGCTCGAAAGAGCCCTGATGAAGCCATTTTAATGTCGTTTTGGCGTTTTGCTCTTTATTGTTCCCTGGGAGCCGTCAGAGGAAGAAAGAGAACTCTTTGCTCTCTCTCTCTCTCTCTCTCTTTCTTTTTTAAATCTACTGCAACTGTAGCCCTTGGACTTTTGGAGTTCTTAATGTTGACTCAACAGAATTGCATGGTGGGAGAATCAAGAGAGGATTCATTACCTGGCAGGCTTTTCCTACAGAAACGCTCTGAAAACTCAACATTTGAAAGTGTCCATCTCATCTGAGACTGCGTTCCCTCTTCGTTCCCCAATTTACTCAGGGCCACATCCTCCTGTTCAGGCCGGGGGCTTCTCACCTGGTACACAAGGGGTTAATGTACCCAACTGCCTGTGGACTCTATGGGTGAGCCCATATTTATTTCAATTATATAAGTATACTGGGCCAGTGTATTTATTTTAAATCACATTATCTACAGCTTCCCAAGCATGTGTCAACAAAAAGAACGGTTTCAATTTAGTAGACTTTGAAATGGTGTGCAGTTTATCCTCACTTCAATTATACCCTCTCCAGTAAGTCATGGGCAGCTTCAGGATTATTCAGGGCAACGTAATGCTATCTGAAAGCATTGATTTTTTTCCCTCCTCTTCAAGAACAGTTCACTGAAGGATGCACAGGAGCCTCCTTTAAGGAAACATAAAAATACATTTCTCAGCTGCAGCTTCTGAGAAATCTCAATCTTAGGGGCTCCAGATGAGACTGCTGGGAAAGTTTCTAACCTTTAAAGGAAGCTGTGCAAAGCTGGTTGCAAAGGAGTGACCGTAGCAGGAATCATGTTTCTTGACTTGAAGGGAATGGGAGATAGACAGGCCAAGGAAGAAGAGAATGTCAGAAATTTCTGCACTTTATCTACTTCTAGATACACAGATATTTTTTGGGCACCTGCTATGGAGCAAGTATGCAGTGGTAAACCTAAAGACCAGAGCCAGTTTTATGGGCATGAGACTTATGCTATTGTCCAAGGCTGCATGCTTGCGAGGTCCCATGCTTGGTTTAACGTTCTATTGATGCTGTCTTGAAAGTTTTAGTAATTTTGAAACAAAAAGGCCAATGTTTTCATTTTTCCCTGGCCTTTCAAGCTATGTAGCCTGTCTTGATAGATGCACAACTAGTTCTGCTCTCATGGAGCTTAGAGTTTTGTAGGGGAGACAGACATGAACTAATTATAGAAGCTACTCTTTCAGTTGTGATAAGGGCTGCCAAGAGACAGATCCAGGGGCTTAGAGGGTATGTAACAGAGGGACCTAGTAGGCTGGAGTCAATGGAGTCATCCAGAAGAAGAATAATTTGAGCAGACATCTGAAAGGTGGATCAGGCAAACCTGCAGAATTCTCTAGGGAGATCGTCCTGCTGGAGGGAATAGCATGGGCAAGGCCCCCCAGGCAGGAAGGAGCTCAGCCCATTAGAGGAGGGGCCAGTGAGAGTAAGGCACAGTGGACATAGGACTGGATTAGTTTCTCTTTGGCAAGAGTAACAAGATCTGGATGTACCATGGTTAGATTGATAGAATTTCCCTGTTGGTAACTTGAGGTGACCCATAGACATTTTTCTCTTAGTGTCTCATCATTGTTGGCTTATTCATGCATGAATCTGGCCTCCCTTAACATGGTAGTTTTTAAGAAATGGGTAGATATTTCACAAATACCTCAATCTCTCAAAACACTAACAATATGAATTATTTAAATTTAAATAATATGTAAATAATAATAATGAAGTATTTATTTAAGAAGCCAGAATGAAAATGTCAGCTACACACTTGCCCAAAGCCTTGATAGTAGATATTTACATATATAGCCTGCACAATGTTTTTAAGTTCATTATACCACTGGGTGTTGAGCAAATCATTTTATTCTTGCTTGTTCTCTACCTACCTCTTTGACAGTTAAACAAAATATTTCCTTAGATCTTGGCCTTCTAGAATTTGGCAAACATGTAATTTCAGACAGAATGTAATTTTAAAGAGTTTGTCATTGTTTTATCTCTCCTCTTGAGAGCTATAGAGAACTGGCTTTATTAAAGTCTCTTTGTACATGAGTGGGGAATGCCACACTATTTGTCTCTTGTGTTCAGTCATGTCTGACTTTTTACAATGGGAAAAAATTGAAATCCATTGTACATTAGAAAGTTTACTTGGAAGAGCAGTATGGAGGTTCCTTAAAAAACCAAAAATAGAGTTACCTATACCCTTAGAGTATATCTGGAAAAGATGAAAACTCTGATTCGAAAAGATACATGCATCTCAATATTCATTGAAGTACTGTTTATAATAGCCAAAACATGAAAGCAACCGAATTGTCCATCAACAAATGAAAGGATAAAGAAAATGTGGTATATATACATATACATGGACTGTAGCCCACAGGCTCTTCTGTCCTGGAGTGGAATTCCCCAGGCAAGAATACTGGAGTGGGTAGCCGTTCTCTTCTCCAGAGGATCTTCCCAAACCCAGGGGTCAAACCCGAGTCTCTTACGTTGCAGACAGATTCTTTACCCGCTGAGCCAGGGAAGCCCTGTCTCCAGTGCCCCTGTCTACATGGGAAGCCTTTGACCTTTGTCATGACAGATGGGCTAGTGCAGTGGTTAAACCTACTTGTAGAATTAGATATCTTTGAGTTCCAATCCTACTTCCATCACTTCAAAATCAAGGATCTTTGGCAATCTTCTCAGCCTCTTGAAATATTTGATTGCCTCATTTGTGAAAGGGAGGCTATTAGACCTACTTGGGAGAGTTGCTGCAGGAATTAAGGTCATGTTGGATAAGCCCTTCGCTCCCTTGGCGTGTGTTGAGAGCCTGGCTAAGGAGAGACTCTCAGTAAACAGTGGCTGCTGTTCTCACTGGTGAGAACCACCGATCAGAACACTGTAGGGGCAGAGCTCTTGCCCTTTGATGGTCCCCTTATGAAGCGGGGGCTGCTGGGAAGGGTGCTCCTTGGCTGATGAAACGACTGAGATGCTTAGAATGTCAAAGCTTGAAAGGAGTTTAGTGGGACCCTAAATGTCTGACCTATGGCATCATGTGGGGGCTGTAATGATGCAGATGCCTGAGTTCCATCCCACATCTGTGATTTGAAATCTCCAGGGAGAATCCTAAAGGAAATCAACCCTGAATATTCATTGGAAGGACTGATGCTGAAGCTCCAATACTTTGGCCACCTGACGGGAAGAGTTGACTCATTGGAAAAGACCCTGATGCTGGGAAAGATTGAGGGCAGGAGGAGAATGGGGTGGCAGAGGGTGAGATGGTTGGATGGCATCACCCTCTCAATGGACATGAATTTGAGCAAACTCCCAGAGACATTGAACAACATGGGAGCCTGGTGTGCTGCAGTCCATGGTGTTGCAAACAGTTGGACGTGACTTAGCAGTTGAACAATAACAACAACAAAGAAGAGACTTGGAAATATGCAAAAAAAGTCTGAGATCATTTTGAGGAGTGGTCAGTCCTTGGGAACCTCTCTCTTGTCCCTTCCTGTTTTAATACTTCATGTGATTCATAAACCACCGATGGACCCATCCAGGCTTCTGTATTAACTGAACTTTTGCTTTGTCTTAATTGAGGAACTGTGGGACTGAGGAAAGAATCATTGATATTTCAGAAACCCATAGCTTTTAGAAAAAGAAACTTTTCTCTCCAAAAGTAATTATGGAAATGTCATAAAAAGGTGAAAGCTTTTCGAGGAGAGTCAGACATAAAAATTACATTTTGTAAATTGTACTTGGAAAGAATCATTTTAATTGAAGTAGCTATTCCCAAGCCTAAATCCCATACGCTCCTGTAACCTCAGAATGTTCAGTTCATTCTTGTCAACTACTTTCTCTTCTGATATGGCCTAAATATGCCACTTAAGTAAGAACTACTTAACAGGAGCTACTTGGGGACGATGTGTGTGAATCCGGAGAGGTGAATCTGTGCAGAAAATTCGGTAATCATGACAGGCCAGCAGGCAGATCATTTTGAGGCCCACAAAATCTTTTACACTTCCTTCTTTGTGAGAGTCTTTCTTTCCAAAGAGGAGTATCTCTTTCCAGCATGCTTGAAGGCAGTCCTATGAGTTGGCTTTATTTATTCATTCACTTTTTCATTCCACAGATATTTATGAAATGCTAGCTGTGTGCCAGGCACTATGGAATTAAGCATGGAATGGTGAATCACACTGACACAATCCCTATGAAGTTGGAGCTTAGTATCACAGGGAAAGGCAGAATTTGGGCAGGTAATTACAAGTGTGAATCAAGCAATGATAAGAGAAAGAGCAGTTGCTATGGAAGTATGACCTAACACCACGAGTGAGCCATGAGGGCACAAAAGGATTTCTACCTAGCTTTGTTTAAACTTATCTATTTTTAATTTGAGGATCATTGCTTTGCAAGATTGTGTTGGTTTCTGCCATACATCACTGTGTATGAGCTATAGACGTACATATGTCCCCTCCCTCTTGGAGCTCCCTCCCACCTCCCACCCCATCCCATCCCTCTAGGTAGTCACAGAGCATGGGATAGAGTTCCCTGTGTCATACGGCAAATTCCCACTGGCTATCTATTTTACAAATGGTAACGTGTATGTTTCAATGCTACTTTCTCTGTTAGTCCTACTCTCTCCTTCCTCGAATGTTTTCACAACCCTGTTCTCTATGTCTGCATCTCCACTGCTGTCCTGAAGCTAGCTTCATCAGTACCATCTTTCTAGATTCCATATATATGTGTTAATGTATGATATTTGTTTTTATCTTTCTGACTTACTTCTCTCTGTATGATAGACTCTAGCTTCATCATTTCTTGGCCTTTTGGCTAAGATCAAATATAGCTTTCTTTTCTTAAAAATAAACATCATCAAGGTGAATTTTATTAATTATTTATTTGGCTGTACTGGGTCTTTGTTGTGACACTCAAGGTCTTGCAGCATGCAGGATCTGTTTTGTTTTGTTTTTTAATTGCCACATGTAAACTCTTAGCTGTGGCATGTGGAATCTAATTCTCTGACTAAGAATCAAACCTGGGTTCCCTTAGGTGGGATTACAGTCTTAGCCACTGGGCCACCAGGGAAGTCCCCTACCTAACATGTTTTGAGTGATGAGTCATTGGCATTTGTCTCCTAGTGTTATCACATTGAAATAGATGAAGAATTAACAAGGGCTGTATCTGTGATGCTAATGCTCCTGAGTGAGGAGTATTATCTGTCTGATGAGAAATAATTGATTTGTCCTTTTTGATATTCATTAAATATAACCATATATTTATTATAAATATAGCCATGTATTTATGTTAACCATATATGTTAAACATATATAATAAATATAACCACATATTTATTATATAATATATACTAATACTATATATTATTAAATACAGCCAAAGAATGTTCAAACTACCACAAATTACACTCATCTCAGAGGCCAGCAAAGTAATGTTCAAAATTCTCCAGTGAGGCATCAACAGTACGTGAACCAAGAAATTCCAGATGTTCAAGCTGGTTTTAGAAAAGGCAGAGGAATCAGAGATCAAATTGCTAAGATCCATTGGATGATAGAAAAAGCGAGAGAGTTTCAGAAAAACATCTACTTCTGCTTTACTGACTACACCAAAGCCTATGACTGTGTGGATCACAACACACTGTGGAAAATCCTGAAAGAGATGGGAATACCAGACCACCTGACCTGCCTCCTGAGAAATCTGTATGCAGATCAGGAAGAAACAAAACTGGACATGGAACAAGAGACTGGTTTCAAATTGGGAAAGGAGTACGTCAAGGCTGTATACTGTCACCCTGTTTATTTAACTTATATGCAGCGTACATCATGCAAAATGGCGGGCTGGATGAAGCACAAGCTAGAATCAAGATTGCCGGGAGAAATATCAATAACCTCAGATATGCAGATGGCACCACCCTTATGGCAGAAGGTGAAGAGGAACTGAAGAGCCTCTTGATGAAAGTAAAAGAGGAGAGTGAACAAGTTGGCTGAAAACTCAACATTCAGAAAACAAAGATCATGGCATCTGGTTCCATCACTTCATGGCATATAAATGGGGAAACAATGGAAACAGTGACAGACTTTATCTTGGGGGGGCTCCAAAATCACTGCAGATGGTGACTGCAGTCATGAAATTAAAAGATGCTTGCTCCTTGGAAGAAAATTTATGACCAACTTAGACAGCATATTAAAAAGCAGAGACATTACTTTGCTGACAAATCTCCATCTAATCAAAGGTATGGTTTTTCCAGTAGTCATGTATGGATGTAAGAGTTGGACTATAAAGAAAACTGAGCACCAAAGAATTGATGCTTTTGAACTGTGGTGTTGGAGAAGACTCTTGAGAGTCCCTTGGACTGCAAGGAGATCCAACCTGTCCATCCTAAAGGATATCAGTCCTGGGTTTTCATTGGAAGGACTGATGCTGAAGCTGAAACTCCAATACTTTGGCCACTTGATGGGAAGAGCTGACTCATTGGAAAAGACCCTGATGCTGGGAAAGATTGAGGGCAGGAGGAGAAGGGGATGACAGAGGATGAGAAGGTTGGATGACATCACCGATTCAATGGACATGTGTTTGGGTAAACTCTGGCAGTTGGTGATGGACAGGGAGGCCTGGCTTGCTGTGGTCCATGGGGTTGCAAAGAGTTGGACGTGACTGAGTGACTGAATTGAGCTGAACCATGGCAGGACAGGCAACCTGGCTCTGGTATTCCTAGAGGCCATGCTGCTCGGCACAATGATACATTGCTTTTCGCTCTGTGACTGACTTTCCTTCTTCTGTTTTATCATTGCTATAAGGTCAGTACTTTAAAAGTGGAATTAATACATCAGTAAGTAATTTTAACTTTAAAATTTTTTATCATGAAATTCCTCACAAATGTTAATTTTGATCTTTTGTTTTTTCTTAAATTAAAGTGTAGCTCATTTACAATGTCTCAGGAGTACAGCAGAGTGGTTCAGTTAATCAGATGCATATATATGTATATATAATGTGTGTGTGTGTGTTAGTCACTCAGTCGTGTCTGCCTCTTTGTGACCCCATGGACTGTAGCCCACCAGGCTCCTCTGTCCATGGAATTCTCCAGACAAGAATACTGGAATTTGCTGTCATTTCCTTCTCCAGTTCTTCCCAACCCAGGGATGAATCCACGTCTCCTGCATTGGCAGGAGCGTTCTCTACCACTGAGCCACTTGACTGCATCTCTGGCAACTGGCAAAGACTCCTCTTGGCTGGTATCTCCAGTGACCTTGTTTGTGAACCCAAACTTGGCTCTATATAGACAATCCCCTTTCAAGACTTTTAAAACACTCCCAAGTCCTCTGGATAGAGTTTGAAGTCCTAGCTTTTTATATACCTGCTAGCCTAGGCCTGGGAAATTAAGAATATTTGCATCTCAATTTGCTTTCTTTTCAAGAAGTAAGAAAGTTAAAGCTGGACAGTACCTTAGACATCATCTAATCCAAATTTTTCATTTTGCAAATAAGGATATTGAGGATCAGGGGAGGGTTCTTGGCTGCCTAAGAACTCCTAGTTCATTTTGCATCTACTACATCTTGGTGAATAGCAGAATCTTTTACAAAGATTTTCCACTGGTACCTTTTACACCCTGCATTACCACATATATTCTAAATTTTAAACTATTTTGTGTTTGAGACTTGAAATCAGCTACTGAACAGAAGCTTGCATGTGCCTATATCTTTATCAATTCATACATATTTGGTAGCATAAAAATGTCAAAAATCTATTTTGGAGTTCTGCTAAAGAGAACTCCTTCCAGAATGACACTTGAACTGTTAAATATCATCTCAAATCTCATTTTGGGGACTATAACCTTCTAAAAGCCTGGCACAAGACTAAACTGGATTAAGGTTGAAATTTTCCAGAGGCTTTGTCTCAGACCAGTGAAGTACTTCTAATCATTTTCTATCATTATCAAAACCAGAACGGCTTCTGAATCTCATGGTCCACTGTCATTATTGAGAAGAATTGTGTACCAGGGTTGAGAGAATAATTGCTGACCAGAATTCCTGTTATCAAAACAAATTTAAAAGAGGGGAAAAAAAATCTGCATCCTTGAGTTTATTAGGTTGCTGGATCAGTTTTTAAAGAAGGATAGGGACTCCTAATTATTTTGTTTTCTAAAAGAAAAAATAAATTCCAAGAACTCAGAGTTAAATCTTTCAACTGTTATGTGTTTAAGATCCCAAGCAATATGTCTGACTAGTGGGAAGACACTAGTAATTTTACAACACTTTTCCCTCCCCCGGGAATAAAATCTTCATCTTTAATAAGGTCCAAGCCTAGGTAGATTATCTATGAGAAGATTTGGCAGGTAAATGCAAAAGCAAGAACATCTCTACACCATTCCTTGTGAAATTCCAAGCAGCATGACTAAGGACTCTGGCATAAAAGTTTCGAATTGGTGTCTTTGCGAGAATTTAATCATCTCCATCAGAATCCTTAAGGAATTACAATAACAGTGATTCATTCATAATTCACAATTTCCATTATCTTCTTTCTACATCTAGCGTGGGGGGGTGAAATTTATGGCTTCATTTACATTGTGTTCTATGAATAATAGAAGAAATACAGTAAAGACCCATGGAAATGTTCTTGCTGCCGACGCAGCTTGGAGCACATCTGCATCACAATAACCTCCTTGCCTTTGTACAGTGCAGAATCCGCCAGCTTGCAGCTGCGGAGGGAACATTTCAAAGGGGCCATTCTCATTAAGCGGAGTCTTCTCTTTCTTTGAACTTCAAAGCAGAAGGAGGAGACCTTAAATGATATTGGGGTAGGTAAGTGGTGAAATTGTAACTTCAGGTAGAAAATATCTTCCATGATGTGTCTGGGGAAACACAGCCATTCGGAAGGGCGAAAGCGTTTGTTTAGAGTGATATCTGGCTGGCAGACAGGAACACAGTTAATCTTGAGGTTTCTTTGAGCTGCTGGGGCCTTGAAGATAATCTAGCTCAAAGCCCTCCTTTTGTGCAAGCGGGGAAACCAAGACATAGAGAAAGACAGTGACTTATTTAAGGTCATGCAGTAGAGGGAGGGCCAGGAACACAGACCCCCTTACTCTTGGTCCAGAATTCTTTCCAGACACCCCGCTACCTTTGTTTCACACACAAAGCACCTGGCTTTGTGACACGACAATAAAGCTAGCAGTAATCTTCTTGGTGAGGGATTTTAAAACAGGGAGCAAAGACGTTTTCAAGGATTTCCCCCCCTAAATAATAATCTCTCTCAATTGAAAATCTTCACTGAAAAACATTCTGAAATTCAAAGAAAGAAATTTGTCATACTTCTGCGATTAAGTAAATCTCGTTTTTCTTCTTCCAAGGAATGACAATAAAGCTGGTGAAAACCTTAGGACCTTCAGCTTTCTCCCCCTGGTGTCTGGTAGGAGCCTGGTGCAATACTTTATTACTTCTCCATCCGCAAAAGAATAAAAACCCACCCATCTATTTACAGAAGCGTCTGTCCTTTGAATCAGTAATTTTCCATCGACCAAATGGAACATGATCTAGCTAAGCCAAACTCCGTTCACATAGTAGAGGTTTAATGGTTTTTTTTTTTTTTGTTGTTGTTGGAAAGATTACATTAAGAAATGTGCATTTACTTGGAGTTTGTTGGAGGCTATAAAGAATTGTTTCTAAAACCTATTATGTCCATCATTCCCTATTCTGTGCAATGCTGCCTACTTCCACATCATCCCTCATCTGTTCTTATTTTGTTTTTGAAGAAAACATGAATCACAGAAAATCAGTATATATATATATACACATACATACATACATACATACATATATATAAGGCAATGGGAAGGATCTTTGTTTCTTGCAGAAGACTCACATAGCACGTTCTGACTCTAATTTTATTAAGGTAATTCAGATATCATGTTAATAGGGAGGCCTTTTGTAGCTGGAAAGGGCAGCTGATATTAGCAGGCAAAACACATACAAATTCAACAGGGCCATGATTCACAGATGCATATTCTCTGTGATCCAACATGTCTAATACATTTAGTCATGCACAATAAAAGCCAAACAAAGGAATCAACCATTGGCCTTTCACTGTCTGCTTCCTACCCCAAGCCTGAAGGAATTCCTCCAGTTACGCACACCAAACAAAATAATGTGTATACCGTCTCCACCCACCCTCCCCACAACTCTCAAGTAGGATCACTCAAAGTGCATTTGTTACAGACAGGAAAAAGAAGAAATAAAAAGAATAGATCACTTTGTTTACCTTCTTACACTAAGGGTTTACACTGCCTATTCCCAAAGTGTGATTTGGTGGCAAGCTGATCTCATTCCAGAGAGAGAATTCTAGTCTGTCCCGACAGAAGAAGTGTTAAACTAACATTAGTCACAAACTTAAACTTCTATGGCTTACAAAGTAACCAGGAT